AAAATTATATTTTAATTATCTTAATTGTAAATTTAAATATGAATTGTGATTAGACGGACAAAAACCGAATAATTAATTACATTTCACAATATGACGCAACTATATCATCTTATTTTACGTCAAATTTAGGAATACTCATACATTTTCCGTTTCTGTCTTTGCTGAGATATATGAGAGTTTTCTGTTCAAAGATGCCAGTAAAAATACTTCTTTCTCTTGTCTTTATGAAAGCCGAGTAATTACAGACGAAAGAACCAGTGTTTTAAAACGTGAAAACTCGTGCGAAACACTAAAAGGGATGAAGATAAATGCCAGACTCACAGCGCCTGCACGCCGGTGTACAGGTTGTCAGGAACATCTAGGAGGCCGGTTCCCTTGCACCTGCATTCCACTGCTTCGTCTTCCTCAGTCATGTTCCAGCAGTCACACCACCATAAATCGCCACTGAAAGTCATGGCGGCCTGTTCGTTGCCGGAACGCACGGTGGCTCCCCAGTCACTCTCCGTCATAGCAACCAATCCGTGAGCCAGAATACATACCACGGCCATGTAGATCATTCTCTGCGGACAGAAGGAGAAAAACCGAAAAGTGTATAACAATTAACACCTTCTTGCACACGGCAACCAGTCTAAAATGGATTTATGAGGCCGAAACCTGTATGTATCAAAATAGGGAGCGGAGTATTTATGTTAACCGCGTTGGCCTGGCTAACACTAATAAAATATTTGTCTTCTCTCTTACTTTCGTGATTCAGTGGCAGTCGAATCGGTCAGATAAAATGCATCGTTAACCAGCTCCAGCAAGTCAGGCGCTTTTCGAGAGTGTAAGCCTCAACCAGCTGGCTAACAACGCCTGGCTGGCTAAAATTGGTTAAAGACGTATTTTATCTGATCGGTTCTGCTATGTTTCAGTGTGTGGACTGCTACTGAATGACGAAATCAAAGGGAAGACATTTTATATTTTGCTTTTCAAAGTGTTAGCTCGGCTAACACAGGTATCACTGTTAAAATTAACTCTCCGTCCCTGATTTAAAAATTGATATAATTCGTAACGTAATATTTTATATTTAACATAGTGTATGATGAATACCTGGTAAGTATTTAAACCATAAATACGTGATGTATATGAGAAACAAGTGAATACATATGGCAAAAGGAAATCTGAAGGGGAAATGGTCATTCATTTGTGATTCATTTCGTATCATCACTTATTGGCCGATCCCTCGTCCAAGGAATCCTATCAAATGTCTATAGATCAAAACCAACGAAAAGTTGGGACCCGCAGATGCTCAAGGCACTTGAAGAACGGGTCATCCCAGTATCCCCAATATCATCTCTTATTTCCCCAAGAACAATTCTTCAATTATATCCAGTTAATCAAACATTTTCAAAGTGCCTATGAACCTTGATACAGAAGTCTGGGTAGTGTTCGGTCCAACCAGATGATGACCTTGTTACGAACGGCCCGAATTTCTATCAGTTCGGTCGTAAAGAGTCCAACACGCAGCTGTGAACTTCCCACTGTCGTAATGAACCCGATTGTCGCGCAGGGCTCGTAGACAGTCCTCCACCAGTTATCGCTCGAAGCCCTTGAAACTTATATGAGGAGCTTCAGAAGAAACTTGAATCACTTACGACATTTTTCTATGAACTTTGAAGAGAATTGTCAACAAAGCTCCGCAAAGCGGGACACACTTCTTCTGCACGAACTTCTCAACGTTCAGAAAGAATTACGTGTATCTGAAGAAAACAACGTATAATTTAGATCAAAAAGGGGACGGATTCTTTCCCTCTGTACATATAAATCCAAAGCTTCTCTCTGCCACTATGTTGATAGTTTTGATTAGATTACAATTTGTTTCATATAAAATTACAAAGTTGCATCTATGCTAAGAAGTACCAGATGGTGCATTCTCGACGCCAGGAACTAGGCAAAAGTAATTGATGAAATACACAAACAGCCCGCTTTGTCACTCGTTTCGGGGGCAGTTCGCCACAGAGCCAGTGTGGACGTGGTCGCAAATATACTGCCAGAAATTAGAAATTTTGCAGATTTTTTTTTTAAAACGCTCAATTCATTCTGTCTTAGTCACAGTGGCAGCGTCAAGACGCCCGTCTTGACCGATCGAACACTGGGATAGTGAAGATGATTGACTATCAGGACGTAGTCTGGTAGAAATTGGCCGGAGTTTCAGAGGTGCTCACTGCCTCCATCATTAGGGAGAGTACCTAATACTGAGTGTACTAAGGTGATTTAGCAGCAAAATTTAATTTAAAGATCATCAAGCTCGTATTTATTCGAAGTGGAGCGATTAGCTGGATAACCTGACCTTTGTACAGAGTTTCGTGCATATAATTTTATGGGGCACAAACTTTAGCATCTTTCGTGCTACATACGAGATAATTAGCTTCGTTTAGAATCAACACATTTATCCGATCTGAATTTGATTGGTGATTCTAATCAGTGGAAGGAAGTGTCTAATCACATCTCAACAGTCGAGGAAACTAATTGTGGAATTTAAAACAAATCCAAATTTTTACATCAACATGGAAATACTGTATGAGGTGAAATGTAATACTTCAATGGGAGAAAATTTATTTGTGTACAGCATCTAAACTAACGTTAAGGGGAAATGTTAAGATTGTAACATCACATTCACTCACAGCTGTTACATTAATTGAATCACGATTTAAAAAAACAAAAACTAGCTGATAATTATAATGCAAATGAAGCCCGTCTGGGTGTTATAAGCGTTTATTTTTCTGTGTTAACTGTTCTTGGTTTAACCACCAGTCCTCTCTGTTAAGTGCAGTCACAAGCTTTTCACAACGAGAATTGATTGAATTATATGACGTAACTCGTTGTGGTATCCATTAGACCGAGTTGTTTGAAATCTAATCCTTCGTGACTATCGACTGTGTACAAAGTACGAGGTCCCTAGCTTCTGCTGTATCGATAATCGACTTTCGTTTTCCAAGTTATTTTAGTAATGTCGCTTGGATCATCAAATGAAAAGTGTTGAAAATCAAATCACACTGCGGTGTGGTGACATCTAAGGTTCTAACGACGGCGGGTATAAAAATGTATTTTATCTGGAATGTTACACCACGTAGTCTAGCAGATATTGACTCTGAAGATGGGGGCAGTAAGATTATTCTTAACGTCTTTCGGATTCTAGCAGATTACACGGCACTACACCTCAGAATACAGCCATCTTGACACTGTAATATATTTTACTACGCCGTAATTTATCAATAAGTAATTTAAGAATGGAATTATCGTAACATTACTTCCAAAATTTAAGTGCTTTGGAACTATGCATTGCTAATAAAAAGTAAGCTTATCATAAAATTGTTAACAGAAAAACCCAGGAAAACTATGGTTCATAATCGTTTATAGCTTAATATTCTTTCTGGTGTCGAGGTTAAAAACTAGTGGAGCTATATCCGTATCCCCCCATACGCCTTACTTCCACGAGACAAATGGTGTGACATTATGTTAAAACAAACGACAACATCTCTTCCCAAAATTCGTAATTCATAATCATTTCACCATTCGATGCTACATAACCTATTAATATCAGAAAATGTAGTTAAATCAACTACGAAAGATGACGTATTCATGCCATGGAGTTATTTAATTAACATAAACTACTGACTACAATGCTAAACGTATTCAAGACTTACAATGAATGAAATATAACAAGAAAGAATGTTTTTACCGCGTTGCTTCGACTCTGCAGCGAATGTGTGTGTTGAGACAGAGAACTTTACTGTCCGGGACGGCAGAATGAACTGTGCTGTACGTAAGGCCTAGAGAGGAAGGAGACAAACCGGAGAAAGATTAAGATAATCCGACAGTTTAAATCTGACAAGCTAAATCCGTATTACGTCCCTTCTCCATAGTGAATACGTCTCAGTAGAGTAAAAATACTTAATCATCTTCAGAGGGCACTTGTGTGCAGACCACAGATCTAATAAATTCACTGTAAATCAATAATTCAGTCTTTAAAGAGATTCATTATATGACAAGGGTAGTTCATTCAGCTTTTAAACATCACATAAATCTCTACTATTACAAGCTGAATGTATCGATACTGCCACAAAAACCCATCGTTAAACATGCATGATCTAAGGTTATCACGTCGGCAAGCTGCCTTCTGCTTGGTCCAGCATAAGCTTGAGCATCGCCCTGAAGACAGACACAAAACTAACCTCCGAAGCGTTGTAGATGTCTCATGTTCAGGCACTGAACACTCCTATGGTAATATTATTTGTATACCATCCTCAGCTGGGTAATGGGTGTAGCACGCATGGGAGAGATGAGAAATATACAGACTTTTAGCCGGAGAAACTGAAGGGAAGAAACCACATGGAAGAAACACGTGGAGATGAGAGGATAATATTAAAATGAATCTTAAATAGTATAAACCGGTATAGAATGCATTAATCTGCAACCGAATAGTGACAAATGGCGGGTTCAAGTGGGCATGATCAGCTTTGATATAAGACGAGAGATTGCTTGAACAAATGAGACACTATCAGATTCTCAAGAAGAATTCTGCCGCATGCAGCTAATTGGCTGGTTGGTAAGTACAAATCCCGAACACAGATATGGAAATAATCTGAAAAGAATCAGTGTTTACAAATATCACAAATGACTATAGCAGTACGAAACAGCATAGGTTGTTGATGCAATTATATAAATTCTGATAACCCTCCTTTCGAATGGAAAATACCTCTCATGAATAACACACTGGCGCCACGCAGCTGCTGCTAATTAATAGCTACAGCCGTGTTTTCGATTCAGACTAGGAAGTATCACCAAAGGCGTGGAGATCCCTCACCTGTTATGTTCTGTAACATTAATGTGCTAATACAGGCCGCATGTGTGCGATCCAAAGGCTCTCTTAATTCCCTAGTTTCATTCGCGTTTTCATCTAACTTGAGCAGCCAAGTTTCCATGAACTGAAGTGAATGGCATGAAAACGCTTTGTCTGCGTGTTGTAGGATTTGAGGTTATTACGGCGGTAAGTATGAAGATGGCTCTCTTCTGAAATGTGGCGCCGTGTAGCATGGTAGAAATTTACCGACGCTTCGGAGGTCCTTTCTGCCTCCATCATCAAGGCGACGAGTTGGTAAACTTCTATCAGACCAACAACCCAGGAGACAGACATTTTCAAAAAAAAGTACGTCTATTATGAGGCAATAATTAATTTTACTAAACTCAGTGGCGAAGCGTAACTTTTTAGAAAAGTGTCAACCAAATCTCATGAGAGGAAGGGGGGAGGTATTTCCATACCAATATCTTTTACGCACTTCTTGTGTCGTAATCCTACACATCCTTGTCTTACTTTTTTTTTATAGCTTTGGGTGACTTGTAGAAACTAAGAACTTTCAGGTTATTCTAATATAGGTCAAGGAAGACATTGAAAGCAGATTAGCATAAGCGAAAACAGCCTTCTTCAAAAAGAGAAGTCAACTAGTGTCAAACATTGACCTGGAATTAAGAAAGATTTTTCTGAAGTTGTATATACGAAAGCGAAACACGGTCAGTGGGAAAGATAGAAAGAAGGAGGAATGTAGCGCTGTAGAAGAATGTTGAGAATTAAGTGGACTGATGAAGTACGAAATGGTCTTAGGATAGGCGAAGGAAGAAGTCTATTGAAAATCTTACGAGAAGAAGAGATAGGATGGTGGGACACATTCTGAGGCACCCAGGATTAGGCACCCGGGATTGGTTAATTTGGTAATGGAAGGAACAGTTGAAGGGGAGACAAAGATTGGAATATGTGACGCACATTTTTGAGGATGTGGAAATGAAGAGATTGGCGCAAGATGGACGAAAATGGAGGACCACATCAAACCAGTCGAAAGACTGATGATAAACAAACAACAAAAGATCAATTATCTACCTAACCAGGGTGCCATCTGAATATAAATTCAGTCCATATCTTCGTACCCAATGCCTCTGCAGTAGCGGTCACGAAATTACTT